ACCTGCAAGCAGACCAAGGTATCCGATTGCTTCTGGAATCAAGTTTCCAAAATCCAGTGACTGGTCCTCTTCAGAGGGCACAGGACTTCACCAGTATGTCAACCTGAGAAAGATGCCATTCGTGAAAAAAATTCCTGTTCTAAAAATCAATGCTGCTTCAAGATGGTGGAACAGGCAGGCGTGGTGCTTGTGTCGTGTTGACTTAACTTACACAGACTTACACAGAAGTGTCCTCTCATCAGTGTGCTGGAATGCTTGGAATTCTCACCTTTAGCTGAGGTGCAGAAGGTGCCAGAAAGAATGCACAAGTGTTTGAGGTATGTCAAGAAGGGCGGTATGCATGCGCACAGGAGAGACAGACAGACAGACAGAGACAGACAGACAGACAGAAAGAGAGAGACAAGCAGAGAGAGAGAGAGAGAGAGAGAGAGAGAGCACGTCCATGCATGGAGTCTGGGTAGGGCTTCCTGGGTTCCTGGGAGGTCTGGGAAAGAAATACCTTAGAGATGTTGCTGAGAAACCCAGTGGGTTGGGAAAAACAAGAAGAAGGCAGGGGTCTTGGCTAGTGGAGGGTACGTTCTGTGGAGCCATGTTGGGTCCAAGGACTCGTGTCTTACACCGTCCTCCCTACTGCATTTCCCCCACCCCATGCTCTCTCTCTCTCTCTCTCTCTCTCTCTCTCTCTCTCTCTCTCTCTCCCCCTCTCTCTCTCTCTCTCCTCTCTCTCTCTCTCTCTCTCTCTCTGAGTGTGTGTGTCAGTCAGTCTGTCTGTCTGTCTGTCTGGGATTCCAATAGAATCCAAGGACTCACACATACTGAGAAAGTCATCTACCACTGAGATATATTCCTAGGTTTAAAAATAAATACATAGACCTCAGGATCTCACTGAGTTACCCAGGCTGTCCAGAATTGATTCTCCTGCCTCACTCAACATCTTGAGTAAGTGGCTGGGCTTAGGGGCTGCAGCACCAAGTCTCGCTTGTTGTGACGGGTTTGTTTCACCAAATCGCAATTGTGACGTAAATTGTTCCTAAAGCCAGAAATCTCGAGCCTTAGGGTGAGCTATTGTGACTACAGGATACACAGCTAGGCTTGCAGAGCATGGAGAGGCTGACTTCCGAGCAAGTCCCAGGCATCCCCTGCTCTTCAGGATGGGCTGGGGGGGGGGGAGTGCGGGTGAAGAAATTTTAGGATAATGGAAAACTACAAAATGTATTCTGTTCCTGTCTCTTAAATCCCCTAATTTAAGGGGAAAACAATCTTCAAAAGAGTCACAAAGTACAGGCAGGGGCAACTGGAGGGGACGTTTAACTGAGATAAACTCTGGGTTTGGAATCAGCTCGTAAGAGGTACAGTGTCAGAGCAATGGTCACGCATCTGCCGACTGAGAGGAAGCAGAGGAGAAACAGAGCAGCCAAGAGGCATGCCCCTGGCTGTGACTTGGTAGTGTCCTGATAGATGACTCCTCTTGGGGACACGTTGATGGCGGAGGCACTCAAGGAAGATCAGGGGATGTTGGTGGACCCCCGAGGGGAATGGACCAATTTGCTAGTGTCCTCTCCAGGAGGCACATGGTCATCCATCGTCCCTTAGCTTGGCCTTTTCATGAAAGAATATGGGAACCAGGGAATTCAAAAGATGCAGAGCCCATGACTCGCCAGGAACACACAGGATGGAACGGAGTCAAGTATCAGCTTGGGGTGTGAGTTCAAGAGTTAGCACCACTTAATGGGGGATGAACTCTGCCCTGGAATGAGATAGCACTGAATTCAAATCTGGGCTCTGGTAACTAACAGTGTTGTGATGGCAGGCCGGATAGTCTAAAACCCTCACTGCCAGTCTACAGCTGAACTGTCTAAGCCACATGCCCCCTTCACAACCTTGTCTCAAATGGAGCCCTGGAGAATTGGGGCACGTTCCAGGCAGGATTTCTCTGGTTGAAAGTAATAAAATCCCACACAAGTTGTACAAGAAAGGATCATGACCTATCGTAAAGAAGTCACACACAGTGTAGATTTCAGGTCCGGCTGGGTCTAGAAGTTTAAAACTTAAACTCACTGTCTCCATCTCTTGAGTTCCCTTCCTGTTGGGGGTTGTCCATCCTTAGGCAAGCAGTCTGGTGTCAAGGTGCCTCACAGGAGCTGTGGGTATGAGTCCTTTCTGCTCTGTAATACCTTGAATAAAGAACTTTCTTAAGGGTCTAGCCAAGGTCTTGAGATTGACTCTGATTTGCCCAACATGGACACATGCCTAATCCAGACTCAGACATGTAGCCAGACAGAGGGATTGTGTCATTTGTAGCTTACCTTAAATCTTCAGACTCAGGAGGTAAAGGACCTGCCTGAATCAAATGGCAGGCGGGGCCTTAACGTGGAATCAGAGTCTCTAGATGCAACGGCAAGGCACAGAGAAGATGTTTGGGGAGGACCTGGGGGGCAGGCTCACCGCTGTGACCTTCAAGGTATCTGCTAACGAGTCCGTGTTGATACAGTGGGGGGACAGGATGGCTCAGCAGATGGAGGGGAGATCATTTGGCCTGCCTTCCTCATGACAACCCTGCAGGTTGTTCAAAGTGTAAGAGAACAGGGATGAAGTCTGCGGTGATATCTCGCTTGTACCAATAAAGCCTGTCTGAAGGTCAGAGAATGGAGCTTGCCACCATAGAGGTCCGTGGTGTGGCGGTGGCTTGCCCCTCTCTGATCTCAGCATTTCGCTCTACATCTGACTCTGGGTTTTTATTACTTAGACCAATTAAGAACTCCATTTACGGAAACCTTTGACTGCTCAAAGCCTCCCTAGGTCGGCCAGTTACCAGAAATGGCCCACTGGTTGGTGGAATTCCTTCACACCAATTTGTCAAAAGTATATTAAGTGTTTTTGCTAACTTCCACAGATTCAGAAGGTCGATTTCCAAAAGTGGTGTGACTTACCCTCCCCAATGCCGGTTCCCTGGTGGTAAACCCTGCTGTCTTGGGGACACTGACATCAGCTCTTCCCTCTGTTCCCCTCACCTGGTTTTGTGGTCTCCACCTGTTACAGCCTGGCTTTCCAGGAGCCGGCGGAGGCTGGGAAAGCAGCTTGGTGATTTTGCCACCCCACCAAACAAACCGTCTGAGTCGTGAGTTACAGCGTGTTCCAACAGAGATTACTTCCCTTTGATTTAACGCAATTAATTTAGAAAGGAATGTTCTAACTCTACAACACAAGAAAAGCCGGCATTGATTGCCATAAATAAATAATAAAAAATGAGTACACAATTAAGAGTAGTGCGGAACATCTCTAAACCCCAGCTGGACTCCAGTCCCGCCCACGGCTCAGCCGCTGCCTGCTCTCCATGAGTACAGAGAGGGCGGAGCTGGTTTGAAAGTTGCTGAGGATGTACCCAGTGTTCTCCTGGTACAGCGGCAAGAGCAGAAGACTAGGAGAGGAAGGCCTTTGGGACTTCCTACAATGATGGAAGTGAGAGGGCCAGTTAAAGTGCCACCTCCCCTGAGGGCCAGCTGCCTTGGCTCTGCCTTCCCTGTTGGACAACGTCTTCTGCTCTTAACCCGGCCTCTCCACCTTTAACCTTTCTTATCTCAGCTGGAGTGAAAACCCAGGACACACATTGATCCAGGCACTGGTTGGCTTTGGCCCCACCCACAGATGTCAGGGAAGACAACTGGCTGGCCTGTCAGCACCCACAGCTGCAGATGGGTATTTTAACTCCAAGGGAAGAAATAATAATAGATAGATCCCTTGACCTGTTGAAATCCTAACCCCCAAGATGACTGTGTTAGGAGGTGGGGCCTTGGAGGTGACCAGGTCATGAGGGTAGAGCCTTCAAGAACAGGGCTAGTGACCTGATAAATAAGCCCCCACTCCCACCCCCTGGGAGCACCCTGGCCTTCTACCACAAACCATCACTGAAGAAGAGCCATCCACGAGCCAGAAAGTGAACCCATGACAGACAGAGGGCACGCTTGGACTTGCAAGGCCTCGGAATTGTGAGCATGCACCCTCGGTCTAAAGTGTCTTGTGACACAAAGCCACCCAGATCAACTGACGCCTGCTGGGACCTTGAAGGCAGGGGCTTCAGTCCCTCTCTTTGCTCTGTGTCAGTAGCTGACAATGGCTGTGAGGCCTCAGTTTCCATTTACCACGTAGAATTCCTCATGGGGCCTCTCTGCTTCGATGGCTTGGGCTTCCCCCTGGCACTGTGGCTGGGTTCGGTGAGCGAATGTTCTGAGAGATTGAGTCGGTCAGGGAAAACTGTTCCCCTTTCTTGGCTTGCCTTGGGAGCCAATCCGGTCACCTCTCAGGAGTCTACTTTTGAGGACGCCCGTCATTAGGAATGTTGGTGAGGGGGCAGGTGGCAGGAGTGACTTTGAAATCCACCTTTTGTGAAGTCACTGGCCTACAGACCCATTAAGCCCACCAAGTGCCCTGACAAGGGAAACACCTGAAGTCAGCTGAAGAATGAATTGAGCCTCTGGAGAGAGCCACCTGCCAGGACCACTACCTCACCCTGAATGGAGTCTTTCTGACTTTGCTCTGGTCCCACTGCCCCACCTGCCACCAGAACTTCCAGAGGCAGGGAGCTCGCTGGGGCACCCATGAATCAGAAGTGTAAAGTACACCCAAAGCCTTGGCCAGTAGGCCTGGGCAAGGGTAAGCCATTGGCGAACAGGTTTTCCTTCAGACTGATTTCAAACAAACAAGAAGACAGCAAGCCTTCTGTGCGGATAGTCTTGGAACCTTTGGGGTGGGGTAGGATGGCTTTGGGCTGGGGAGGGTGTTGCACGTGTGAATCTGAGTGTGAGTGACCTGGGTGTACAGGGGCAGACGGTGGCCTTCGTGCAGCTGTTCGAGGCCCCCACCCTACCCCACCCACCCACGAGGAGCACAGCGTCCCCGCCTCACTGGCCCTGGGTGCGCCTGGGGCAAATGAGCCTCTTGGTCGGCTCCCCGCGGCGCTCGGAAAGCGACCCCCGTGCGCCCTGGGGTTCAAAGGCCCGACGCGGCAGCTCCAGCCCCTCGGAGGGGCGGGGAGGCGAAAGGGGGTGGTGCAGGAGCCAGAAAAGCCTGAGCCACAGCCGGCCAGCCCTGTGCACGGATGGGCAGAGCGCTCTGAAAGTTCGTGACCGGTGCAGCCAACTAACTCTTAGCCGGGACGCGAAGTTCAGGCAGCCGCAGGACTCGAAAGCTGTACCCGGTCCCAGTGCCCCTTCGAGATTACAAGCGGCCACCCTCCAGGCCCGGTGCTCCCGCGCCTGACCAGGGTTCATGGAGCCAGGGCTGTGGCTCCTTCTCGGGCTCACAGTGACCTCCGCTGCAGGTAAGCGGGAGGGGCGGGGCGGCGCGCCTCTCCACGCGGGAGTGCACACAAAAGGAACCCAGGCGCGGGTCTGTGCTGCGGGAAAGCTAAATGAGCCTGGCTCTGCACCCTGAAGTCTCCGAGGGGCGGGCAGAGGGGCCTGAAGACACAATGATTACTTCCACTGAGTCTGGGGGTTTCAGCCTGGGAGACTCAGGCTGTTCTTTGGGCACTTTTCAGAGATTACACAAAAATCGAGTTTTCACCAGTGAAGAGCAAATAACTTTCAGACTTCACAAGGACTGAAAATAGCTCGCAAGTTTTTTTTTTTAACTGAGTTTGCACAGCGCTTTGTAAACTTTTCTAGGCATTTGGTTTAGTTTGGAGACTGCAGGGGAAATGCAACCAGCCACCCCCCCCCCCAAGACATCGCAGAAGTTTGGTTGATTCTCATTCCGGGTTTGGGGGCTGGGGTAGTGGGTGCCAAGAACTCTGTTTCAGTACTTTCAATCTGCCTTCTGTAGGATTTGTGCCTTGCCCCCAGCCTGGGGGCCCTGGCAGAACCAGTGTGTCCCAGGCCCCCCCTGAAGCTGGATCAGAGGGGGACAGTGAAGAGACTCTGGCTATCCCTGGTGAGAGGACTGTGACCCCAGCAGCTGCACAGCCTGCAAATCCTGGAAGTCCTGGGCAGAAACAGGGACCAGGCAGGTCTGGGGAGCAGAAGGGTCAAGGGGTCCCTGCACACCACCGCCCTCGGCGCTGCACGTGTTTCACTTACAAGGACAAGGAGTGTGTCTACTACTGCCACCTGGACATCATCTGGATCAACACTCCCGAGTGAGTTGGCCTGGGGGTAGGGAGTGTGGCTCTGTGCCAGGCTTGAGGTGTCAGGTTCTTCGCATGAACCCCAGCCTACCGCAGTCAGACCCCCTGAATATGCCATGTTGCAGAGTTCAGATCTCGCGGTGTCTCCAGGCACCGAGAGTCCTGTTGAAGGCCAGGGGTGACCTACCTTCACTAGGACCTGAGGGACCTAGCCCTGGAGAAATTCAGTCCTGGGTTTGAGGTGGGCAGGGGCTTTAGATGCCTGAGAAGAGCCTGGGATCCTTCCCTGGGCCAAGTGGGCCGTGCCTTGCTCCTACTCCTCTTTGGAATCTTCTGAGAGCAACTTGGGGTACAAGGGAGAGCAGGAGGGTAGGCTCGGCAGACCCAGATGGCATCCACCCTGTGAAATGGTTTCATCCTTCCCAGCCCATCTTGGATGCCACATGAGCCTCACACACTGCTGTTCCCCAGCTCTGACCCTAGAGTCCACAACCATGGCCACAGAGGCCCCTCTGTCCAGCCTCAAAATCTTTTACAAGGGCCTAGTAGTAGGGTTCTGATGCAGTCTAGGACCAACCTTTGGTGAAGAGCATCTTTCCCTGGGGCCTCTGGGAGGGGTTGGCTGTCTTATCTTCCAATTGACTCCCGCTCAACCTCTGGGGTCATTCTGCACTAAGACACACCTTGTAAGCAGGTAGATGGTGGTTTGACCTCGCTCCGGCCACTATCTCCAGGGTTTGTCTCTTGGGTTGCTTGAATCTTAGACTTGGTCTGGATGGCGCTGCAAGTCAGTGGCGTGGGTGTTCTCCGCATCCCCAGGGGCGTCTACTTGAACCTCACTGGGAGCTTGGAGATGGCCGAGCACAAACCCTCAGTCTGGAAAGGCAACTAATTATCCTCCTTTGTGGTTTCCTTCCTCCTGAGTCTCATTACTCCCGGGGATGTCTGTGTAGTGGCGTCACTCACCCACCTAGATATCCCAATGATTAAGTGCACAGGAGAGGGGGTCCCCTGTGGGGTCCAATATCTTTTGAACCTGGTGACAAGATCTGTAACCACATCCAGGTAGGTCTGAAACCTTCCCACTTTGAGTGACAGACAGAGTTGGTTTCACTGATGACCCACCTGGACTCCTGCATGGGTCCTGGATGCAGGTGGAGCCTGAGTTTGTTTAATCATGGCTGCTGTCCTGCATTTTGTTGTCCCTTACTGAACCAAGAGCTGCCCTGGTCTCACTAGTTCTGTAGATGCTCCCAATGGTGTCCTTTACTTTCCTGCTGTGTTTGAGGCCCTTGGACAAACTGTCAGTCTACAGCGGGGAGAGAGGAGGGTAACAAGGATGTCTACTGGGCAGTCGTGGATTGGTTTCTGCTCTCGGAGAGCCTCAGCCCCCTTTCTTAGGGCCACCAGCACCCTGGCCATTGTCCTCCTGGACTCCTAACCATCTGCCATCGTGATCACACCAAATGAGCACCACAGAAACGGGGACACCGGTCAGTCAATAGCAGCCCTGGGTCCTGGTCTTGGCTAGAATCCCAGAGGCCAAAGAAGGGACTGAATTGTAAGGGACAGACAGGGTGGAGTCAGGAATTGGAAAGCACCTTACGTCTCTGCCTGTCCTCCAGACCCCTGAGCACCACTTGGGCAGGAAGTGAGTCCCTGGGACAAGTCCCAGATGCTCCATGAACACCCAGAGATATCTGAGATCCTGTGCGGGAGTTCTGAGCTGTTCTGGGTGGTTGGAAGGGAAGCTGTGGATCTGCTTTTGCTAGGACAGCCACCTGGAGGGAGGGGTTCCTCTGAGTGTCTGGTTGATCTCTTCCTTTCTCTCCCCACCTCGTTTTACTCTAACTAGTGGGGAGGAAGGGGTGAATTCAGTGTCCTGGTGACCTATTCAACTTCTTGGGAAAGAAAAGTGACAGTTTCCAGACTTGAACACTTTGAATCCAGACAAGATAAATATATGAACAGGGGAGCTGTTTCCCGAACAGTCTTATTCTCTTTGTGTGTGTGTGTGTGTGTGTGTGTGTGCGTGTGTGCAACACTCTCTTCATTCCCTTTCTCTGCTCCTTCCTTCTTCCATTAAGTAGATCCATTCGCTATCTTTAAAACACTTGGAACAAGATTACAATTAGAGAAAAAGAGCTCAGTGGGCCTCCGAGGGAATGGAAGAGCCCTGGAAAGGTACCAAGTGGCATAGGAGGTCTGTGGCCTAGTCCCCACTGCCCAGTCTCAGCCCCCCTCTCCAGTGGTCCCTCCCTCTCACACTCTCACATTGTCTCTGTCCTCTTCTCAAATGCCCCAGCTGGGGTATGGTTGCTGTTGGTCCCTGTGGCTGGCTGCTCATGTTGGAGGAGGGCCCTTGGTCCTTGCTCCTAGACTAAGGACTTGGACTTTGGGTGTTTCTGCTTTTACGCAGCGTTCCTCTTCAGCCCATGCAGTTGCACGGAGATCAAGCCCACCCTCTCTGCCTTTGACTTTGAAGGACACTACTGAGGACCTTATGAAGATCGTGTTGAGAGCAGGCTTGGGTCTACACCCCACATTCTGCAGGAGCAATGTCGGAAGTTACCATCAAGCCCCATGCCATGATGTCATGGGGCATTAACGGCTAGTTTAGGCTCAAGGGACCTTTATGCTCTCAAGAGGACCTGAGGTTCTTTGAGGTTCTCTCGTGATTCTCATACCCCGAGCCCAGCCAGCCTATTCTGGCAGCACTCGGCATACTATAGATGCTCCATCAGTGTTGACTGACTTGGTTAAACCCTGAACCCAGCCTTGTTACTTCACCTTGACTCAATGCAGCTCTAGTACGAAGGGCTTCCTCCCTCCCAGGAGGTCTCTTTGCCCAGGGTGTGCGAGCCTCTTCAGAGCCCCTGCATTTCACTGTGCTGTGGCGGTGCATGTTTTCCAAGTGCCTTACCTGTAACTTGGCTTGTCTTCTCCAACAAAACCCACAGCCCCGAAGAAGAAGCACTTTATCAGTTGCACTTTTTGGCATCTGAGATCATAGCTAACAGATCGTACAGTAGCATCCTCCCTAGTATGTGCCTTGGCCAGGTGAGGAACTTCGTGTCCCCACAAGCTACAAGCAATTCCGGTATTGCCAACAAAGACCAGAAACGAAATCCAAACCGTGGAAAACCCATCCCATCTCGCCCTGGAGAATTAAAAAAAAAGCCTAAGATAGAAATGCATGGGATGTCATGTGTGTGCTCTTGCACGCTTGGGGCTTCCCTGCACGCCATATGTACTGAAAATACACACATACTACCTTCAAGGCAGGTTGAGACTGGACCACTTGGGTTTCACCAGTGAGACAGACGCAATAGGGTGGAGACAGAGAGATAACCGTTGTGTGATCACAGCTGAAGGCTTCCAATGGCTGAAAGTTCCGGTGAGAGAGAATGACACAGACTTGAGATCAAAGGGAGCCCAGAATCAAAAATTCTGTCTTTGTCAGGGAACCTCACGCTTGACTCTTAAGGCTGTCAACGGGCTGGATGAAGCCTATCTAGGCTGTGGAAGACAATCTGCTTTGCCCAGAGGGTACTATAAAAGTAGCAATGGCATCTAAAAAAGACCCTCACAGCGGCTTCTAGAACGGTGGTTCCCTCAACAGCTGGGCACTGAAACAGAATTAACCCTCTTGGGACATTGGCTCTAACATGCCTCACGGATGTGGGTTCCTTCTGAAGTGGGTAGCTGACTGAAAACCAGTTCTGCAAATAGCAACGGAGCAGTCAGGATGCCCAGCAAAGAGCCCAGTGTGTGCTTCCCCAACCCTGCACCAGGGGACCTGCCATCTGTTATTCCCCGAGGATACATCTGAGAGAGGCACCGTGGTGCTGCGATGGCTGCCATGTTTCCCAAACAAAAATGCGAGCCACATGGTGACAAGCAGGAATTTATTTATGGGAAGAGCAGGGCAAGACATTGGGAATCGTGACTAGTGTGGTGGAAAGACCAGTAACTCTGATCCCCCCCGGCTCGTTCGCTTGCTCGCAGGGCAGACTCCAGCCCAGAGCTCTGCCCCTGAGTTCTGGCCATGCTTCTCTGTATGGTAGGAGGTGCCATGGGCTCTCTGATTCCCCTCTGTAGGGTACACATCCTGGTCCAGCTGTAGGGCAGTGACCAAGGGGGGTCTCCTTGAGTTCCCCCAGCTGACATCTCCTAAGGACATACAGCCTTCTGCCCAGCCTTTGCCAAAGCATGCCACGCTGACTTAATCCTGCAGGAATGACATTTGTTTTGTGTTCATTCTTTCCCAAAAGAAGAAAAGAGTAGACTGATAATAATAATTAACACAACATTTGAACTCGCATTTTAATATCCTCAGCCACAGAAAAGCAGAAGCCCCACTTTCACCATGTGTTCAAAGGCATTTTAGCAGGGTTCGAGCAGAGACTGACCAACTCTTAAAAGGTTCCAATGGAACCCGTGGGTCAGGGCCACAGTTTCCTGCAGAGCAGAGCCAGCTGTGCACCCATCATGGGATTTGGGGATCCCCAATAAAAGTCCCTCTGTTCTGTGAGCCAGCCCTGGTGGGATCCGTTCTGGGGATGCATTTATTCCAGACAGAAGTCTTTGTGGCCATCCTGGTGTTGGGAACATGTAATGGAGGACTGACAGGTCCTGATAGCAATGGCACTGTGGATTGGTCTCACATCATTTTGTGAGAGTTGCACAACTTTCTTTGTGGTGTGTTTAAGTGTGTGTCTCCATACTTTGCTGGGGGCTGAGTCGCCTGGAGTTGTAGGGACGCTCAGCTCAGTCGTGTGGCTTCTGGGTCTGCCCTTCCAGTCTCCCTCTGTTCACCTTTCCCAGCACAGGTCAAACTTCTGTGCTTCTGTGTGTGTGTGTGTGTGTGTCCATATGCGTATGGCTACATTACCCCTGGAGGTGGAGGTCAGAGGTCAACATCATGTGTTGTCCTCAGTCATTCTCCACATTAGTTTTTGAGACAGGGGCCTGGGGCTCACTGATTAAGTTAGATTGTCTACCCAGCGCGT